TGATGGGATTTTAGATTAATATATTTAAAACAAATTTGGTTTCAGAATAAATTTTGTTATGTAACAAATGACTTGTACTTAAATGGATGAAATTTGGTCATTGAAAATGAAATGAAATTTTTGGTTTTTATTAATGCAAGAAATAATAAACAGTAAAAATAAGCTGTGTTAATAGTATCCAACTCCATAACGCAACAGAATCATTTTCGACAGATTTTTTTCTTTTTAAATTTTTTTTTAGGAAATACATTTCTTTCTCTACTTTGTTAGCTTTGACTTCGTTGAAGTGAGTTATATATAACAAAAGAACATCAGCGATGATAGATCAGGCTTATAAATATAAATAAATAAAATAGATTTAAGGCTTGTTTTTTTTAGTACAACAAATAAATTATCCATTTATTAGCTTATTTATTTAGTTTTGAATTTTCAAGGATAAAATTTTGGGATAATTATTAAAAAGTATTACTGAATAATTTTTATTTATACAATGATAATTATTAATCATAAACATGGTTTGTGTTAATAGTCATTAATAGTAATAGCGATTTGAAAAATTTTGGCACAGAATTATAAAATTAGTTTATACAAAGATTATTCAAAGCAAAATATAACTTTTTGTAAATATTTATTGTTTTGTAAATATTTATTATTTTGTAAATATTTGTTGTTCTATTAAATGATCGCCGAAAATTATTTGCATTGGAAAAAATACGATTTTTACATCATATTAAAGACTGCGGTTTTACATGGCAAAATACGAAGTTTAAGCAAAATCGATAAAATAGTTCTTGAGAAATCGAAATTTAAAAAAAAAATCGAATATTTAAAAGCATATTCATAGAATGAAATTAAAATAAGTATTCAAACAATTAGAATGTCATGAATTTAATCAGAATTTATAAAATAAAACAATAAACTCAACTTCTAACAAGTAGTTAAGCTAATAACCGCAGCAAGATGCTGCATTCGTTGGAGCAAAAAGCGTTAACACAAAGCTCAAAAAATGTGCTGCTTATTCAGATACTTTGGCACAAAAATTAACAATCTTCAACATTTCTCTATTTTTATAATTATTTTTTGTTGAACGAAATTTAGCTGAAAATAACTAACTATTAAAATTTAACGATAAAATTAGATTATCGTTTGATATCTAATTTTAACTTAATTATTGTCAAACTCTTAAATTTAAATTTCATATCTCCATTGTCAATTGAAGAATGTTAAATTTTTTGACTCATTAAGAGAGAATTAAAAAAAATATCATTTTGCAATTTTATTTCAACTGCACTATATTGTACTATTACTTTATATATATATACATATATATATATATATATATATACAGGGTGTTCCANGGCACGTGTTGCTATGAACTGTCTGCAAGCTTGTCAAACTCTTCCTTGGCCTGCCAGATAACCAGATCTCTCTCCCATCGAGCATGTCTGAGATATTATGGGAAGGCGATTGCAGCTGGCACGGAATGTCGATGACCTCGTTCGACAATTGGATCGAATTTGGCAGGAAATACCGCAAGAGACCGTCCGGGAGCTTTATCGGTCTTTACCACGCCGTGTGGCAGCTTGTATCCAGGCTAGAAGCGGGTCAACACCTTATTGAACTTGTTACTGTAACTCTGCAATAAATTATTCAATTGTTCTGAAATTTTAATCATTTACTATTCTGCACATTGTCTTCCAATCCACCAATTTTCGTTTCAATCGGACTACTACTTCTTGGTGCGTCGATTTTCTTGTTATAGAGTGTATATGTGCGTGTTTGTGTGTGTCTTTACTTTTCTATTCTCGAGAATAGAATTGGATTCATGATTTCTCACTAAAAATTTAATATTAATTATTAGTATTTTATTCATTTGTTTTAAAATATGCATGTAATTTCTAGACAAATTTACTCAGTATGTCATAATGTCAGATTGTAGATTTTCAGATTGTAGCAAGTCATAAAATTGAAATGTATATGAAATGTTAAAAAAAAACACTTTTATACACTTATAAAGTAATATTTTATCTGATAAAATCTGTTGCGTGGAAATTTAACTAGATTTGTAACTCTGTAGATAATATTTCAATAATCTATTTTTTTGTTTATAATTATCTTTTGCAGAATGAAAATTAGTGTCGAATGAAACTTAATATTAGTAAAATATATTTGGCTAAGTAATTGAATTATCTTCAATTATTCCTCTTTTTTCAAAATAAGTGATATTATTTACAATATTAAATTTAATTTTCTCGTTAGGAGTTCGAAGAATTTGCTAAATTTCTCACATAAATGAGTTATAAAAAATATCATTTCAATAAAAGAGTATGACTTATTCGTCATGTTTATTACTTATTTATAGTACGACAAAGAAAGGAATTTATATGTTGCTTTGTAACACTTTTTATTTGCTTAAAAATATTTCAGCGAAGTGACGTTTAAATAAATATTCGTTTTGACATGTTTGTTTATGCAATAAACATAATTTAATATTCATTCCTTGTGCATTATTAAATTCAATCTTAAAGTTAATAAGTATATTATATTTAGCATTGTTGAGAAATATTAAAAAAAATAAAACAAGACTAATTTAATAGATTTTATAAGATTATTCTAATTTATATGCATTCCCGTTACTAATGTTTGCTACGAAAAATTAAAAGAAAAGGCCAAGATCATATAAATATGATTTTAGTCTGGTGTTTGCTTCTTTAAAGAGCTCATATATTCAATTTTTTCTAAAAAAAAAATTAATATTTATACATATTTTTTAAATTTAAATCTCAAACTGTTTAAATCCATTAAGTTTTGTTCTTTAATACATTCCATTGCATGCATAATTTAAAGAACAAATTTTACTGAAAAGCATAGCTTTAGATTAAAGTATACTTAAACTTTTTGAAAACTTTATCGTGACTTAGATTATGAGTAATTGCTTCTATTAACATCTATCTATATTATATAAAACGCTAATACGTACGTATGTATCAATAAAACCGATGATATTTCCTTTCTCGCGATGGCAACAGTTTTCATTTTTAATTGATAGGCTTCGGCGCGCAAGAGCACGTAGTGAGCATCATATGGCTAATC